TTTTTTTATCTTTGCGCGACCGGGTCAAGTGTTCCCCTCAAAAGGCTCCTGTTCGGGAATATCACCACTGCGTTTCACTGACCAGTTCAAACACCCCACCACACAGCTGCTGTCCGACTGACGATCGATAACGTTCGGGATTTCAAATATCACCCACTGCTGCTTGGCGGTGTTCATGTGCAGACTGACTGACCCAAACCAAACTGCATCGCCCTGTTTCCAGCTAAATCATGCGGACTCGTTTATTGTGCTGCACCGTTTTGTGCGTTTCACTGCTCGGTTGGGAACGACGGTCGAATGCGGAACCGTGTAACACAATGCCCTACCATGACTATCCGACCAACTACCCAGACATTGAAAACGATGACCGTGAACGTATGCGAATTTGGCACAATGGTGTTTGGGAAACGAAAAAGCATGTGATCATTGGTTTTCGTGTGAAAAACGATACTAGTCTGATCCATTTCAAAGCACACGATCTGAAGACTGGACTGGTCGAATTCGAATGCGACTTCGGACCTGCTGTGGAGGGCGAATGTTGTGTGGACAATCGAGACCGGGTGACGATGCAAGTGACTGATGCATGTGAGAAGCGTGTGGTTGCCACCGAATTCACAGAAGACCATCGTGATGTCTACTATATCAGTCGACTGCCAGGATCGAGCTGGAATACGTCGATTATCAACATCAAGGTGCAAACACCGAACGGCACGAGACGGTACTTCTACGCCAAACCAGAAACTGTGTCTCCCATGGTGTGTCCTGAGATTCTACGTGGTGGTCATGAAAGCGACATTCCGGGACTAGTGGTCCGACTGTCTACGACGGAGGAACACAGTATGTCATATCATATACTGGAAACCACTGGTGTTTACATAGCGGAAAGTGAGTGGTACCACATTACCATTCGGACGTTTCAACGACCAGACGATATCTTAACAGGTTACGAAGTTTACTACGACGAAACTGTGGACGTTCAGAACGCCCACCGTATGCATGACCAAACAACCCATCCAGCTGATGCTGATTTCACACTGGCGACGGAGCGTGTCCAACTGTTTCAAGATTACCGGAAGTACTTTCGCAGACACAGATTCCGCCGGTTTTTCAGGTACAA